TGCTCTTTACAGAGGAAAGAGTAGGTTTCAGACAAACTTGGGTTTAGAACCTGAAGTTTTTATATAGCATGATGTTAAAGCAGTTGCTCTCCTTACGCCTCTATTTCCACATCTCTAAAATGAGATGATAATACCCTCTGCAGAGTTGTGGGGTCAATTAAATAATATAATTATACAGAGAGGCTTGCATTTCATCAGTTATTCCATATTCAATGGGTTGGCATTATTATAAAAACATGGAGGCCCCAAACACAGGATACAGTACTCTGGGTTTCACTACTTTAACATAATGAAACTCTCAAATGGATGGAGGTGATACGGAAAATGGAAAGCATCATTTATAATGATGAGAGCCCAATGGATTGACTCAAAGAGAAACAAATGACTAGCAATAAATGGAAAAAAAGCATGCCAAGAACATCACAAGACAAAAATTTAATTGGGAAACATTGTTAGCATCTTGGTACCATTAACTACTTTAATCCATTTCAATGTATGATTAATAATTTCAGATGCTGTGAACACATAAAATAATTAAAAGAATTTTCCATTTTTGTTTACTTCCTGGAAGCTAATTTTTAAAGACTTTGTGTTAGGTAAAAACAGTAAAAAAAAAAAAATCACTTACCAAGGATTAATATAAAATGCCAAAAGATAATCAGTCCAAAGACATGAGGGTAGCAGGGTTAAGAAAGCAAATATACTCCTACGCCTGTGAGCATTAATAGATAACAGATGTAGAGATGAAAAAGTGGCAAGAGTTAGTAATATAAACTGTGAACAGATATCAGTAAATTACGTACTGGGATCAATTAAAATAAGCACCTTAATTATAATTACATATTATTCCATTCTGTGAAATTTAAACCTGAGGGCTTAAGTGCTATATATAATATTGCCAAAATCAGTTTGATTCACACACAGCCTTATTGTAATCAGATATATTTTTTCCAACTTATTTTGTGGTAATTAGTCTGCTATTAGGTGATTACATTTGCATTCAGCTAAATGAGGCTCGTCAAGGCCTCATTAGTTATCTTGAGTCGTATTCTTGGGTATCACCTTTGCAATGCTTAAGCTAATTTAAGGAACCTGTGTAACATCATTTGCTAGCTTGTGGGAAGAAATGTAAATGGCCAGTTTGTATATACTGAATCCAGTGAAGACTCTTAAGTTTTTGGGACACATTCCTATAAAGCTGCACTACTGTGACTTTCTACATTAGTTTTACTTTAATCTATACATCATTTCTAAAAAAATAACCCTCAAAAGAGAGTTATGATATGACACTTGGGTACCATCCATTCAAAAAACGTAGTTCAACTGCCTAGTCTCTAATCTTACCAATATTTAGCTGAGTGGGAGCAAAATTATTTAAGTTTCATTGTAATTCTAATTCAGACTGTTGACTTAAAATGCATGGATTGAAACCAATTCCAGATATGCAAATCACATGTAAAATAGAACATTCATTAATGCAGATTTAAAAACATCCCATGGCTGCATCTAGAGGTATTCTGAGAATTAGGGGGGAAAGTGCTATCCCTTGCCATTTCAGTTAGGTCAAATCTCCATTCTCAGATATCCGTTCTCAGCTAGAAAATGCTGGTGCTGGCAAAATTGTCTTTGCCAAGGGTGCAGGGGAATTTTCTTGATTTTATAGAAAGATCCTGAAGTGGGTTATCTTTTGCTCCAGCTCTCTCATAACTGGTCTCCCATATTATATAAGTTATGACTGGTTGTGTAGTTAGTCAACACACAACTCTCCTGAGTGACAGGTATAAATGAATTATTTCCTATGTGGACCGCTCATCATGACTTTGACCAGGCTTTCTGTAAGGGTGGGCCAGACAAGAAACAATCATCAGTGACTTGGTCTTGGAAAAAGTGCTAATATATTTGCACAAACCTAGAAATATTTCCTAATTTTTTCACCATCAAGGGTTTATGGGTTTCTCTTTCTTCACAGTTGAATTAGTTGTATTTTAATAGCAAAATTCCATTCAGGTTAAAATTAAAAATAGCATAACTTATTGTCCTGTTAAAAATAATCTTATTTCAACTAGAGTGAGCAGCAATTTAGATGCCCATTCAGGGAAGTAGAATTTATATTTTAAATAAAGCTCTCCCTCCCTCATTGATTCTGTACAGTAAAATTTCCAGTCTCAGATACCTATTTCTTTAAAATTAACCATTTTGGGGGATTAGGGAAACAGAAAAAAAATTACTTACAAAGGATTAATATGAAAGGTGTATATTTAAATGTGCTTTGCATGACTGCTTGCCAAAAAGCCAAACTAAATCATGTAAGCAGTGCTGGTTTCATATTAAATGGTTACTTAATTAGCAGTTTTGTTGGGTATTGATTTCAATGTATTGTTAATTTTCATGTATCACCTTGTTAGATATAATGTCAACCAATTTAATCTCCTGACAATGCTTTTTTAATTCTCAAAATACCTCCCCCCTCCAAGTCTGTAATAGTCAAGCCATGTTTTCTCAGGGGGCTTTCCTGGCTTTCCTTGATACTTATTTACCTCTAAGTATAAGAGTTGAAGGCACTGGGCTGTAAACTTCTACTTGCCTTTTGAACAGCAGTGGTGGCTCATGTCTCCAGGCACTGAAATGTGAGTTCTAAGCAGAGATGCTGTTCTGTCTCATGCTGCTTCAATGGAGTGTCTCCTGGTGCCTCAGCCACCACTTACTTGTTCAGTTTGGCTCCTGCATTTAAGCCCTTCATTGGCACAGTTACAGGCTATTTGAATAACTGATGATTTAGTCTTTTGTTTAATGTAGTAAATGCAGAGCAGATTATACAACATGTTCTCTGCTTCATCATTTTATTAAACGAATATGTACGAAATGCACTCTATGAAGATCTAACCTTTAAAAGCCCACTGCCTAAGAAATTATGAAAGGATAATCGGACAAAACCATTTATCCCCCAAAGACAGTCAAGTTACATTTGGAGCACACACAGCATAGCTAAGATATCAAGAGGCTTGTTTCAAAAGAATACGCACCAATTGTATGGAAGCTTCCCATCCCTCTCTAAGGACGCAAAATTGACAAAAGTTCCTGCTCCACATTCCCTGTTTGAAAGGAACCAAAAAAAATCAAGGTTACGGCTTGATGGAGCACTCTTTTAACTTGATGTAATAGCCTTTACTGGCTTATCATCACATTAGATTTTTAAAAACACTGAAATAACTTCCTCATGTTCCTCTTTCACATATTATGCAAAACATAAAAATAAAGCAGAATAAAACAGTATTCACAGGTTGCATGTCCCTATATCAAGTCATTTGATGCCAAAAGGTTTGGGTTCACAGTCCTTTCCAAAGGGCACTTATGATCCTAAATAAATCTTTGAACTATTTGGGGTATAATATTTTTTTACAAAGTAAGGTATAAAAACTCTCCTAGATAAACCAAGAGTTTTCCATTTTTAGCAAATATTCTTTGTGGGGCTCTGTTTTTATAGCATATTGATTTCCTCTCTATAATTATGGTGGGTCAGGTTGGGTTGTTTTCTTGCTCCAAAATTTTTCCCTCATGTTGTGATGCCCATTTCATTCATCATTTGAGATGAGAGTAAAAGAATGATACATATTGAAAAAGATTGGCTTTTGCAGGGCCTCTTATCCAGAAGGTTGCTTATTAATCTGTCAATAGAAAATACTGTTAAAGCTTTTTTTTTCTTCCAGAAGTGAAGGAAAACAGTAAACATATTCTCATGCCTTCTCCACCCTTTGCCTAATATCATGCGTAAATAGCATAGCTCTCTGGGGCTCATACATCTCATTTTTTCCTCTGTATGAAATTGGTGGACTTATTCAGAATTGAAACGGAGATTTTTGACAGCGTTGACACAGTGTGCTAATTATATAATTACTTCAGTTATCTGCCTGTTCTTATTAGATGTTCTAAGAATAGTTTTCTTTTGAAAAATTCACTAATATGTTATTATATCCTATTGTATTTAAAATTACACATTAATTGATTTTCCTATGTCAATTCCCTGTAATACATAGGAATTTATTTAAATTTAAATTAGAAAGACTTATTTTACCCTCTAATTTAAGAGTTCTTACTCTGGGGTCCAAGAATAGAATCTAGAGCTCTATGAACATATGTGGGAGGAAAAAGTGCATCTTTATTTTCACAACTTCTCACAGAAATTTGGCAGTTCCTTCAACTATTAAAGTAGACAAGAAGTCATAATATCATCAGTACCTATGAAATTTGCTAACAATAGAAATTGTGGATATTTTTCTGTAATAGACTTGCTGCAGGGATTGAAATGTTGTTTGTATTCATCCCTATGGTGAAATATGAAAGTTATTAGACAGCCTACTAATTATTGTTATCTAACATATTAATCAAGTAGCATACAACACATTTGTTTTTTCAATATGGTTAGGACCATGTTTTAACATAATTAGCTTCTTTTCTATCCTATGTATTTTATTTTATGCCCTTGAAAAGAAAGCATTATTCTTGGAAGGGATCTTCAGGCTTCAAAAGACTGCCAGAGAGAGGAGGTCATGGCACAAAAAAATGTGAAGAATCTCTGTTCCAAGGACCAGCTGGTTGAAGTAGAACCACTCCTCCTAAATATTTTGCTGTATGCATCACGGAGAGTGCTCCCGCAATAATGCCCTCATAAACCCCACTAGTTCCATTAGTGTATTACCGCCCCTCCTCTATTACTATTAGGAGCTAACATTTATGGCACATTTCCGATGACTTGAGTATTATGCTATTACTGCATTGTTGCTCCTCACTCTGCAAATGTAGGAGCTCTTATCATCGTCTTGATAAGACAGGCTTTCCCTGGCTTCCAGGCTGCCTCCCTCTTAGTTTCCTTCCATTCCACTTGATGTCTCTTGTCAATCTCTTTCACCACTATCTTTTTTTCCCCATGAAAATCTTAGTACTAGATTGTTCTGGTGCTGAATCCAGGACCCTGTCTCGCCTTCCTAGAGTTCATCTAATCTATAGCTTTAAGACTCTTTGTATGCTGACAACTCTCAAATTTATATCCTCAATCCAGACTTCTTTCCCAAACACCAGACTTCCATGTTTAGCTGCTTGCTCATATCCACACTTGCAGCCACCTCACACTTAACATTTCCAAAACTGAAGTATGGATGGTCTCCCAACTCTGAGACCCTTTCATATGGAATCCTGTTTTAGTTGATGGCAATCCATCTTCTGTTTTTAAATTCTATTGGGAAACAGTGTGTTTTTCCAGGACCCATCAGCTCCAAGTCAAGTAGTTGTTTCAATCTAGTTGTGGAGGGTGCAGCTCAGTGGCCCATGTGGGGATTGAACTGGCAACCTTGGTGTTATGAGCCTGCGCTCTAACCAACTGAGCTAACCAGCTGCCCCTGTGAGCTAACCGGCCTTCCCACAATTCCATCTTTTAAGTTGCTAGGGCTGTAAACTTTGGAGTTATCCTTGACTCTTACTCATACCAATTCAGCATGCAATTTGTTAGCAAATCTCGTGGCCTCTGTATTCAGATCATCTCTCCCTGCTGCCACTGCTACTGCTCTGAACTGAACCACTGCCATCTCTTACTGCCTCCCCTGATTCATACGTCTGCTTTTGTCCTTGCCTACTTACAACCTGTTCTTTACATAAAAGTCAAAATGGAAACGTTAAAATGTAAGTCAGATATTTTTAATCTCCTGCCCAAACCCTTCAGGTAAAATGGCTGCTCATTTTACTCAAAGTCAAAGTGAAAGTCCTTACAACAGCTTATGAAACCCTGTATGATCAGACATCATCTCCTGCTCCTAACCCCTTCATTTCTCCTGCTTTAGCCACACTTAACTTCCCTGCTCTTCTGTGACCATGCTAATCACGCTCCTGCCTTGGGGCCTTTGCACTGGCTGTGCTGTGCTCTCTACTGGGTACCCTCTTCCCCCAGATAACACATGGCTCACTCCCTCATGTGCAAGTCTTTTCTCAGATGTCATCCTTTCAGTGAGACTTCCCTGCCTCCCAGAACTCCTCTCCATAGTCCCCATACAGGTACTGCCAATCTCCCTTACTAGGTTCTATTATTTTTCCATTATCATCTGCTAACATACAGTGCAATATTTTAGCTGTTATCTTTATTGATTGTCTAGCTTTTCCACTAGAATACAAGCTGTATGAAGGCAGAAATTTTTGTCTGTTTTGTATACTGTTATAATCCAAGCACCCGGAAGAGTCCTATACATAACAGGTGTCCACTAATATTTGTTCAATGAAAGAAGGAAGTTTCAGTGAAGTGCACAAGGTCACATAGGTTGTAAATTAGGATTTGACCCTGAGGAGTGTAATTTCAGAGCTTTGTACTCTAGCCATAGTGGAGTACCACCTCCCTCCCTATTCTTTAAGATTTGCTCAAATGCCAACATTTAAGAAGATTTCTATATTTAGAACTCATTTCTTTTCTCTAATTTCATGGTACCCCATTTTTATTTCCTTCCTGGTATAAGTCAGTTTATATCTTTAAATATATTTATTTCTGTACATCTCTCTAGCTAGGTCCTAAGTTCCTAGGTACAGCTTGAATGTCTGATTTTTCTTTATACCCTATAAGGCACATCATATAAATTCTTATTTGATAGATAAATTTATTTATGAATGGGTGAATGATAGAACTCTGAGAAAGGGAAGAATGTTGACTGATAATTCAGCAGGCTAACACTGGGCAAATACAAATTTGAACCAAATTTCTCAAACCCAGTAGTACTGAACTAGGCAACAGTTTTTAAGAGAATTCATTATTGTTCTGATCACATAAGGGACCACAGAGACAATGTGCTCTTGACAATGTGCTCTGATAAGAAATGCAACAGTGGTCAAAGGAGTATGGAACCAGCAAAATCATAAATCAAAAAGTTTTTCTAACTGCAAGAAAAATGAAACTGCTTGCAAATCTGAGTCATAGGATCAAAACTATTAGGGGAACCTCTAACAGACCTAGTCATACACTCTACAAATCCTTTCTGACAAAATAGCGTCAACAGAATTAATGAGGACATGCGTTTTTTTCTTTCTTGTGGTCTGCACATATTTTAACTCCTTTTATTAATCATACTGAGTAGGCATAGATCTTTTTTTTTACTCTAAAACAAGTGTGAGACTATCCAAACATAAGGAATGGATGCCTGTATTAAGAGGTCTGACTTTGTATAAACCAGGGTCAGCAAACTGCGGCTCACGAGCCACGTGCGGCTCTTTGTGTACATTCCATCTCAAAACTTTGCCAACCCCTGGAAGAGCCAATCCTGCCCCTCACAATTTAAAAATTATTCGAGAGCCATAAATACATTTTTACAAATAAGAAAATTTAAAGTGATATTATAAATGAACTATGATAGTTTTATTTTCATTTTCAATTTCACTTCAGAGCCACATGTACGTATGCAAAGAGCCACATGTGTCTCACAAGCCGCAGTTTGCTGACCCCTGGTGGCTCTTCCATCTCAAAAGTTTGCTGATATAAACCAACAAGTCTTTGCTCTACCATTTGAATCATTGTGTTTTCTAAACTAATATTTCAAATCTCCTTAAAAAACACGTAACATAGAAATAGACACTGAAACCTGAAATCAAACACTACTGTACAATTTAGTTCTGCAAAAGCCTACATGTATGATTATGGTCAATAACAATATTTGAAAAGCTGAGGGAAGAGGATCAGCCACGCTTCACTTACCTAGCCATCTGCAGGTGCTTTTTCCTGAGAATGATCAGGGTAACGAGCAGCAGCCCAATCAGCAGCGTGCTAAGGATGGCCAGTACTGAGATGACGACCACGTTGGGGTTCATCTCTGTAACTAAACACATGAGCCACACATTTTCATTACTGCTTCCACTACTTGGACACTAACAGAACCATTCAGTGTTTTCCATCTGATTTTAAAAGCAATGGACTTAGGATGACAACAAGCAACATCCATGATGTTTCTCCAAGATGACAATGACCTCTTCCTGGTCAATTATAAGTTAGTAAAGTAGATTGATCAATGGTATTCAAGGCCTACATTAGGGATGTTCTTATAAAGGGAAACTATGAACTGAATAATTCCTGTGACATAGTTTAAATTAATTTGAAAACAAAAAACAAATCTAGAAGTCATTATCACGTATTTTCACTCCTTAATATTTGTTATTAATATATTAATAATATATTAATAAATTAATAATATATTTTCAGAAGCTTAGAGAGTAGCAACTTCTTATGTTATGCCCATGACTTTAATGTCAGAAAGCACAACTGTGTATTTCATTCACAACTAGTAACGTATATGAAAAAGGCATTAGCAAGCGACCATCTGCTGCGGCACTTAACACATCACTAGAAACAGGCATTCTGAGGATCTGTAACCATATGTTGAGAGGTTTCCCATCTGTACAACTCAAGAGATGAAACCTATTAATACGTTGCAGGGCCCCTAAGAACAGGGGTTGTGTCCCTTTCCATATACTTTATATAATGATTGGTTTGCTATGACACTTACACATTGCCTAGCCCATCCTACTTCATGAAAGAGCAAGACATTGAAGGTGGGATTATATGTAAAATATTTTTTAAAACTCTTAACAGCGGACCAGAGAAGAGGAGAGTGATACCATCCTCCTATTGATGATAAAATCACGGGGCTGGCTGGCACATACAATCTCTAAGGCTTTGGGTATTGTCACTTTCCATTTGGGACAACATGGCTCCAGTTCACGGGCAGAGGTCCTTGCATGGAAAGAACATTAAACTCATGGTCAGAAGAGCTTGTTCAAGTTCATTTGACTACTACCTGCCGTTTGGGGAGGCTATTTTATCTGTCTCTCTGGGACTCATTTTCTTCACTTTGCAAATAAGTTTCATAATATCATCTGCTTCACTGGCTTGCAGTAGAGATGACAAGGAATCATAAACGTTAAATAATACTTAGCAAAGTGAAAGAGGATGAAGAAATGAGAGACCACTAATATTCTTTTCAGGTCCACTTTTGTCCTCTCTTTTGAAAAAAAAAAAAAATTAAAAAACAAACCCAAAAAAGTCCATGCTATGCATCATTGATATAGTGGCTAAATATGTGACAAATGTTACAGAGCTGAAAATAAACCCAGTAAAGGGTAATGTGATAGTAAGAGGGGCATTATTATAGGCAGTTTCATAGACGATCTCAGATTACAGAAACAGACACTTAACAAACGGGGGAGTAAAACATGTAACTCAGAAAAACAATAAGGAAACAATATTATTGTAGATCTTTCATTAATTTCAAATTTCCCCACTTATACTTTCTGCTTATTGGAAATTTTTCCGCTTTGACCCAGCAGTTGAGGCTTGTCATTAGTTGATGAGTGACAGCTAAGGGCCAAGGCTGAAATAGATGAACCCAATTTGATTAGGATACTGTGACTATTACTGAAGAGGGTGAAGATGATGAAGTTGATGATAACAACTAGCATTATGTACTTTATTTCTAAGCCTCAAAACAACTCAGCAAGGTACATATTATAACTCTAGTTTTACAGATGAAAAAAACAAAGCTTCAGAGGTAGCAAATATCTTCCCCTAAATCACATAGTAAGTGCAGTTTGAGATTGAAATTTAGGCACGTCCTGACCTCAAAGCTTGGAATTTTCCAATAGAATAAACATGGTTTCCATTAAAAGGATAGATTATATATACTTTAAAAGGAAACGTAAGAAAATTTGGAAATATGTAACTTTCAAAGACATCAGATTCTACTAATGCATGTAATTACCCATTGTTGAGACAGCTATAAAGGTGGGGACACTGGGGCTGTCGTGGCTAAAGCTGGTGACACTACAATTGTAGGCAGTGGCCGGAAGAAGGCTGGAGATGGTCACAACATGAGAAGACACAGAAATCGGTTCCTGGGGATGCAAAAAATGAAATAAATGTTATATAACCTTCATCTATTTTGATTTAAAGTTTTTTTCATAGTTGAGTAGATAATATATGGAAAGATTTTAAGCTATAAAAGACTAAAAAGGATAGGAGTAAAAAATAAGTTACAAACAATGCCATCGTGAACATAATTTCACAATTATGGGAACATATGTATATGTCCGCAAACACAGTTAATATACTGTGTATGTGTATATATAAACCTGTGTGTGTATATACATATATATTCCTAGCAGTTGAATTGCTGTGTTAAAAAAGTTGCATGTTTTTAATTTTGAAAGTTATTCACGAAGTGTCCTCTGTAGATATTTCCAAGTTTTCCACCACTATCAGGGTCTGACAATGCCTGTTTGCCCACACTTGTAACACAGAATAGTTTCAAACTCTTTGAGCTTTTCCAACCTTAGCAGTGGAAACTGTATTTTGTTGTAGTTTAATTTTGCATTTCTTTCACTATGAGTAAATGGATCATCTTTTCATTTTCATATGTTTCAGAGACTTTTGTTTTTTTGTTTTTTTTATTGGGGTATTGGGGGGAAGGGAACAGTGCTGGGGAATTGGAGGAAGGAGAACAGACAAGTTGCTGTCCTTTTGTTCTTCAGTCTAGCTGTGGAGGACGTTGCTTCACTGGCCCAAGTTGGCACCATCATTGCGCTCTTCCCGGGCGAGGCAGATCAGTCGCTGGCTTCTGGACGGCCACTCACTGCGGCTGCTGGCCGCTCACGCTGGCTGCTGGCTACACACGGTAGCCCATGGCAACCCACTGCCACAGGGGCTGCAGCCTACGCCGTCACCGGCGACTCAAGGCAGCCCAGCTCCAGGTTGAGCTGTTGTTCAGCATCTTAGCTGTAGAGGGCAGTGTCACTGGCCCTCATATGTGGGATCCGAACCGGGGCCCTCTGGCGTTCCAAGCCAGTTCTTAACCATCGCGCCACTCGGCCAGCCCAGAGACTTTTGTATTTATTTTGTATGAAATATTTGTTTTGAGTTGTTGGTCTTTATTGTTTTATTTGTATATTAAGTTCTTTGTATATTAAGGACACTACCCCCTTTGTCTACATTCTCAGGTTTTAAATAATATCCACCAAAAGCACAGGGACTTTGCATTCTCAGAAACATTTAATATTAATCTATTCTATGTAGAACAAGTTGTTATTTGGTGAGCCAATAGTCAGAGTAGTGACAAGTACAACAATACAAAAAGTAATGACAAGTACAATATAAAGAGATAAGCCAGCAAAACACTCTTTTTCAAAACAAGGATCTGAAACACCCCTGCCGAAAGAGATGGGAGGCATCAGCACTGATTCCCCACTCCTATCGCTTTCATTATCCTATAAAAAATGCTCCTAAGAAAAGACTTTTGCTGACAGGATCAGTTGCAGTAAGTAGCTGCCTAACCATTGTTTTCTTAAAAGAAGATATCACTGCAGTTGCAAAGAAGAAAATCCACTACTGGCAGAGCAGTTATTTTCAAAAAGGATTCTTAGAATAGAAAAAATATGCAGCTGTTCAGTACTGATCAAAAAGAGATAAGTTAGTAGAGGGAATATTAAAGGGGGAAAGGAACGAAGCAAATTATCTTAACACTCAGTCTGAGTGTCCCAGCAATCCTTTGTTCTTGTCAACCTCATGAACTTCATTATTTTAAAAGCATCAATTATTTATGTTCATAGTACTAGTCTATACATTGTATTTCATGATATTCCCTCACAAACTTGCCCTTTTTCTTTCATATCTGATTGTAAAACTTTTTTTTTCCCCTTGTGCTTAGTTACCCTGAAAGCTACGGTTCATCTTTTTCCTTCCATTCATTTTGACCTGGTGGACAACTCAGTATTCATCATATCTGCTATTTGTGATTCAAATGCTTTAATAGTCACCTCTCTCAACCTACATTTCCCCAAACAAAATTGTCCTCCTTACTAACTAGATAGGGACAGTTTTGTAAAATTGTCTTAATAACATGGATCTCTTTTGTGGCACTTATGTTTTACTTTAATAATTTCTAGACCAGGGGTTGGCAAACTGTGGCTCGTGAGCCACGTGTGGCTCTTTGGGTATGAACATATGGCTCTGAAGTAAAATTGAAAATGAAAATAAGACTATCATAGCTTCATTTATACAAATTTAAAGGATGTTATTCACATAATGGTGATTTCATTTGTTTTATGGCCTCGAATAATTTTTAAATTGTTGTGAGGGACAGGATTGGCTCTTCCATCTCAAAAATTTGCTGACCCTTGTTCTAGCCTAATGCAATATCAACCACTGCATGAAAAAATTTATTTGAAGGCCATTATTGATTCTACCGTTTGTGTTTTCTCATACAGTGACTTTCACATAACTGGCAATTGGTTCATATTTGTTAAATTATGTTTTCTATAACAGCATCTTCATCCTCTCAATTAATTTAATGTCTAATAGGAAAAGCAAACCACTTTAATTCTTTAGTATAAACTGCAGTGGCTAAGGGTTAGGGATGAAAGATAAATACATATAAAGATGAAAATAAACTTAGCAATTTGGCCAGTTGGTCCTCATAACATATTTTATGCTTATTCTAAGCATAGTCTTAATTTCTACCACGGAAACAAAAGCATAAATGATGAGCTTTCACTTTCTATAGTTCAAAGAAAGAAGAAATTTTCATTTTGCTTAGATAATTAACCTTGATCAAAATTAACCCAGAAAAAGGAAAATCAAAATGTACAGTACCTGGGGTTTTGTTTCCTGACTAGAGCCAACCTGTTGACAGAAGACTTCAAAAAAATCGGCCACTCCTTCTTCCACCCACAGCAAAGTTACCGAAGTCTGGGTTTTATTCACTGCAAAGAGTGATTTCGGAGGAGCTGGTTCTGAGCAAAGAAAAAGGTTTTAAAACTTAATTTAACATATTCTCTCTTCTTTCATTACACAGCAGGATAAACTAGCCAAACCCCTCCCCTCAAATCCAAATATAAATAGTTAAGAGCACATAAAGATTTTATATTACTTTGGAAATATGTACTTCTCCAAAGGCGGTCATCTAACTAGGAAGGTAGAATATTTTTGCCTCCCCTCCTCTCTTCTATTGTATACTTCTCTTTTTGGAGCACTTCTGTTTTCTACTTCAGCTTTACTAGACATAATCTATTAATAGTTTTGATGTCATCTACACTGGAGCGAGCATTTCCCTGATAATACAGAACTTTACGGGGAGAAAAATCTGTACTTCAAAGGCTGAAAAAAATGAAAGTGATGCATTCCCTTCTAATGGAGTCTGGTGCTTTTCCAACAACCTGTCTTCCTTTCTCTGGAGACGACTTAAAATAATTTTGTTAGGAATGGTTTCTTGAAAATATAATAAAAATTAAAAGGGGCAAAGCTAAATAGATGATGTGATTTTTTTTTTAAAGTAAAAGGCTGATGGAAGTGGATCGGATGTTTAATAAAATGTTAGAGGACTGATTTCTTCATCTTCATCTTTAGATATTTTATCTTGAGCAATAAATTATAAATCCATTAATCACAGAAGCCTTGCTGTCCATGCCCTTTCATACTCATTTTCAGTAATTGAGTCACTGAACTTGTTAACGTGAGACCAAACCTGTGCCTGTTCCCCAGTTCTAGGAAGCCATCTGTTGTCTCGTCCCCCACTCCTGAATCTCGGCTGATCACCCCCCTGTGCCTCTGCCCTTGAAACATTCCTTTCCTTTGACATCCTCCAGTACTCACAGTGCTATGCCTGAACCCAAGTTCTTAAACCAGGGTCCATGTTACCTGCTGTTAGGCCTCCTTGACATTGCTTATTTGGACATATTATATCTTGCTGTTTGGTTCACATAACCTGCCCACCTGCATTTTGCTGTCAGTCAACTACTCCTACTGTTTGCTTCTTACTTGGATTTCTTTTTATTCTCTTCTGCAGTCTCCCAAGTCTGTCTCCAGTCCTTGGCTTTTAGAAGTGCTTGCAAAAGCCCTGGAGGTCATTTCACTTCTTTGACAGGTATATGTCTTTGTGTGGGAAGATTTGGCTGTCTTTGTAGAATAGCATCATTATGGCCCTGCCCAGAACCAAGTAGTATGTCGGACTCCTCCTTGACATGATTTATCTCAGGTAACCTAAGTTTGTGTCAACTAAGAAGCAGCCTTTTTTCTTTGCAGAGGCAACTTGACAAGGTTAGGCAGAAGAGTTGAAGGAGCAAAGAGATGAGTTAGTCTTGGGCAACCATAATTCACAATAGATGTCAGGACCCCTTTTTCATTTCCAGTGGAATGTCGACTCCTCCAGACATTGTATTGTTTGACTTCCCTTCTGATGAAGACTCTTGGTGAAACACACAGGTTAACTTGCACTTCCCACATCCTTTATAACTGTCACTGGTAATAGCATTGCAAGTCAGAGATGAATGCTCCAGTGATTCTGATTTGGGCAGAGCTTGGATCTTTGGAAGAAAATATGAGGTTGTCTGGGGCAGACATGGAGGATTTGTTAGGCTGAGCCTGGGCTATTTCTCTTTAAAAATTGCACACCACTGAATTGCTCCTCAGAGTGTGGTAGACAATGATTATTAATAGAATCCATAAGACATGTCTCTATTTTTTTCTGATGGGTAGATAAAATCAGCTTAGTTATCCAATATGAACATCGCTCAAGTCCTAATCTCCAGATCTGAGCTTCTTACACATGTATTTCCAACCACCTATCACCTGTGCTTACTCAGATGTCCTACTATTACCTCAAACTCCATATGATCAAATAGAATCTGGAGTCCTCACCTTCCTACAAATCAATTCTGCTTTCCTGATTCTCTCGGAGCACCATGAGTCTTTCAGTTGTCTAAGACAATAATTTTGAGGTTCTCCTCTTGCTTCTCAGTTCCAGAAGCATCTTTTAATAATTCTTGTCATCTCTGTCTTTTATCTATTCTTTTCATTATCTTACATGTCCAGGCTTTTGTCATCACACTTATCATTACAATAGTCCCTTACTCCTATTACCTGCCTCTAATTGGCTTTTTCTTCATTTGTCAATGATGGCTTAACTTGTCTTAAAGCACCACTTTGCTCATGTTACATCCTATCTGTGCCATGATCTATTGTGATCAATGTCTATTGTGTCAAACTCAAATAGGCCAAGTTTTATGAAGATCCTACTTACATTGGCCACATGCTACCCATCTAGCATCACCACTATTCCTCCTGCACAGACATGCTGCCCCTGGTAAAGCCAGTCTTGTCACTGACCATCATACAGGCAGTACTGTTACTTTTTTTGGGTGGGGGGGGGGAGTGGGAAAGCAGTCCACACAGTTTTCTTTAATTGAGGGCCTATGAATCTGCAATGGAGCGTCATGTCTTTCCTTGCATGTATTTTTGTTAAAAGCAAAAACTTGGGTAGAACTTAAAATCTACATCAAATACAGATGTCCAGTTAAATTTGCATTTCAGATAAACAAGTAATTTTGTATTATTTTTAGTATAAGTATCCTGAAGCAATGTCTTAACATGTGCCATAGGAATGTATTTATTTTTCGAGATTTTTATTAAAAATATAGCTAACATACAATATTATATTAGTTTCAGTGGCATGCCATTGTTATTCAACATTTATCTACCTAAAGAATTGATCACAATGATAAGTCCAATAACCATCTGATGCCATACTATGCTATCACAATATTATTGACTATATTCCCTGTGCTGTACATTACATCCCCACAAATTATTTGTTTTATACCTGGAAATTTGGACCTTTTATTCCCCTTCACCTTCCCCCTCTTTTAAAATTTTTCAATTACAGCTGATATTATTTTATATTAACTTCAGGTGTCCAGCATAGAGTTTATACATTTATATAATTTAAAAAGTCATCACCCTGACTAGCTTAGTACCCACCTGGCACTATACATAGTTATTACCATATTATTGACTATATTCCTTATGCAATACCCTACATCCCCATAACTTCTTTGTAACAACCAATTTGTATTTAACTCCTTCCCCTTTTTTTTCACCCACACCACCAAACACCCTCCCATCTGGCAACCATCAAAATGTTCTCTGTGTCTATGAGTTTGTTTCAGTTTTGTCTGTTTATTGTGTTCCTTAGATTCCACATATAAGTGAAATCACATTGCATCTGTCTTTCTCTGCCTGATATACTCCACTCAGCACAATACTCTCCAGGTCTACCTATGGTGCCCCAGATGGTAAGAACCCATTCCCATTCATGGCCAAGCAATATTCCATTATATACGTGTACCACCTCCTCTTTATACATTCTTCCAACAATAGACACCCAGGCGGTCTCCACATCTTGGCCATTGTAAGCAATGCTACAATGAACATATGGATGCTCATGTCCCCTCGAAGTAGGGTTTTAGGTTTCTTCAGATAAATATCTTGAAGTGGCATTACTGAGTCCTTGATAGTCTCTTCTTATTGCTTTGTTTTAAAGTCTATTTTGTCTGATATAAGTATTGGTACACCAGCTTTTTCTGTTTTGTATTTGCATTTTTATGAAATATTTTTTTTCATCCATTTACTTTCTGTCTGCATGTGTCTTTCAATCTGAGGAGAGTTTCTTGTAGGGAGCATATGTAACGGTTTTGTTTTCTTATCCGTTCAGGCCTCCTATGTCTTTGATTGGAGCATTTAATCCCTTTACCTTGAAAATAATTGTTGATATATATGTAGTTATTGTCATTTTATTATTCATAATCTTGATTTTTTTTTTCTGTCTTACAGAAATCCCTGTAACATTCCTTGTAATACTGGTTTGATGGTGATGAACTCCTTGAGCTTTCTCTTGTCTGGGAAGCTCTTTATCTGTCCTTTGATTTTAAATGATAGCCTTGCTGGGTAGAGTAATCTTGGTTGTAGATTGTTGCTTTTCATTATGTTGAATATTTTGTGCCAATCCCTTCTGGCCTGCAAAGTTTCTGTTGCGAAATTAGCTGAAAGTATAATGGGAACTCCCTTATAAGTTACTAGTTGCCTCTCTCTTGCTGCTTTTAGGATTCTTTCTTTATCTTTAACCACTTTAATTATAATGTGTCTTGGTGTGGGCCTGTTTGGGTTCATCTTGTTTGGAAATCTCTGTGCTTCCTAGATTTCTATTTCCTTCACCAGATTAAGAAAGTTTTTAGCCATCATTTCTTCCAATATGTTCTCAATCCCTTGCTTTGTCTCTTCTTTTTCTGGTACCCTTATGATGCAATGGTTGTTATGTTTGATGTTGCCCCAGAGGTCTCTTAAACTCTCCTAAATATTTTTGGATTCTTTTTCTTTTTTGCTGTTCCAATTGGATCTTTTCTGCTATCTTGTCTTCCAAATCACTAATACGATCCTCTCCTTGATTTAGTCTGCTAGTGATTCCTTCTAGAGCATTCTTCATTTCCGTTATTGTATTGTTCACTTCTGACAGGTTCTTTATTTATGGTTTCTGTGTCCTTTTTCATGTTTGCAATCTCTTTGTTGAAGTTCTCACTAAGTTCCTTGAGCATCCTTACAACCATTGTTTTGAACTCTGTCTGTGGTAGGTTGCTTGCCTCCATTTCATTTAGTTCTTTTTCTGGGGTTTTCTCTTGTTCTTTCATTTAGGATGTATTCTTTGTTTTCTCATTTTGGCTGCCTCTCTGTGTTTGTTTTTATGTATTAGATAGATCTACTATGTTTCCCAGAGTGGCCTAATGTAGTAGGTTGCCTATAGGGCCTTGGCACAGTCTTTCTGGTCACCTGCTCTTGGTGCTCCAGGAGTGTCCCTTGTGTGTGTTGTGTGTGCCCTCCTGTTATAGTTGAGCCTTGATTGTTACTGGCACATTAGTGGGTTGGATTGACCCTCAAGCTGACTGGCTGTGGGGTTTTGTCATGT